TTTTAAATGTAGAAGATCAAACTCTGTAACAGGACTCAAGAGACAGGTCAAGCTTTCTAATAAGACTGAAAGTTTATTTTACTTTCTCTTAACACAAGTCTTCTCTACCTACAGCTTGATTGCTTTAGTAGGATGTTCCAGTGGAGACTCATTAGTCATCTTCTCTTGCTTGAAAACTAGCTTGACTCAGCAAAGAGCTGGACCATGTTTCAGAAGTCCTAGATCCTGAAAGATGAAAAGCTGTTTCCTCACAAGTGGTACTTATTGCATTATTCATTGCACTACCACTATCTTTCCTTATTTCAAATAAAGCCCCCATCTTTATTAATAAATACAATTTAAAATGAATTCATCAAAATTAAATGATTTGTCCATCTTTTCTTTTGTTGATGGGTTCCATAGGTTTGGGTGTGAATCAGAAGTATAATAAAGGGTCTATTTAAATAAACAGTTTGCAGAGAATGCAAATAGCCATAGAAAGAGCTTTAGATTAAATGTAAAAGTCAACATTCAACAGAAGTATGAGGATTCCTGACTCCCCTTAAATCCAATTTTTTAGGAGGTGCAAGGGAATTGGTTCCCCAGAGCTATGATATCCATGAATATCACTGGATATGCCCCAAACCTGTTTGGTTGTCTGTCTGGCCTCATTTGGTGGCACTACGATGTCCTCGTGACAACATCATGCAGTCAGGACATGTGGCCACAACATCACCTGTGCCTGCAGTGAACCCTGCCATTACTCCCCAGCAGGCCTGCTGTAGTGACTCACATAGTGTTTTCACCCTGCCACACTTGTGAAAACTGGCACAAAAACTCCAGCCTAGCAGGCTCTGGTGATCCTAATTCCTCACTGAACCACGTTATGCTTGCAGTATCACCCACAATGGGAGACGAAGTAACTTGAAGTAAGTACAAAGGTTTGAATTCAGGGGTCTTCATCCTTGCTTGATTGATTGGCCGGTGGTCTACCACTTGAGCCATGTCTCCAGTCCAGCTTTTTGATGTTTAATTGGAGTTAGAATGTCTTAACTTATCTGTCTGGGTGGGCCTTGAAGTATGATCTTCTGCATCTTTCTTTCTGGAACAGGTAAGATTACCACCAGGAGCCTCCTGTACCCCATTTGTAGGAATTCCTCATAGTGCTCCCTATTCTGTCTTCACATTTTTTATTTAGTTTTATTTAGTTTTGGTTGTTGTGGGGCCTGAACTCTGGGCCTGGCACTGTCCCTTAGCTCTTTAGCTCAAGGCTAGCTCTCTGCTACTTGAGCCAGAGCTCCACTTCTGGCTTTTTCAGTTTATGTGGTGCTGAGGAATAAAACCCAGGGCCTCAGCTGTGCAAGGCAAGCACTCTACCACTGAGCCACCTTCTCAGCCCTGTTTTCACAATTTTAAATGACATTAGTTTCAGAACTTAAAAACATTTGCATTTCCCAATACCAGTACATGCATAAAAAAATTGTAAGTTATACCATCTCAAATCTGCATTCCTTGAATCAAACCAGAGGATAGACTTATATTTAGAAAGGAAATATTTGTGAATGATAAAGTATTCCATCCTCTCAATTGCTGTGTAGTATGGTTTTTACCAGGTATAATAAAATAAAACAAAAATGATACAATTTTAAATAATTCCAACAAAATAATGCAGGTTTTACAAGGGAAGTTAGTGAATAAGGAAACATGGATGCAATAGGAGAGAGCTATTGAGGTTTGAACATCAGCTTTGGGCTGGGAGTATAAGTATGTAGATATCTTCGTTTGTAAGTAAACAAACGTTTCTTGTCATTCAAACAAAAAAAAAATGAGTCAACATAAAGATAGAGGTGTTTACCAAACATTTTGGGATTTTGGACCCCCAAGGAGAAAGCTGTTACTGGCTCTGAGTTTTCTGCTTGCTTTTGTGGAGTCAGGGAGTTGAAAAAATCGTGGGATCCTGAGTAGGTCTAGTTCCTTTCCTCCGAGTTCCATAAAGTACTACTTTATGGGTGGAATCCAGTAAGCCTTCCTGATGGCAGGGATTTGTGAGCATCTGAAATACCTCAGGCTCTCAGTCCCTGTGTCTTGAGGCATCAGGCTCAGTTCCCTGTAGAAGACATCATTAAGTGACAATGTAAAGAGCTACACAGAATCCAGGACTCTCCAGTGTCTAGTAACGGGTACTGAATGCTAAATCCATTGAAGACCCTGAGTTCTGTACTTTAAAATTAGTAACTATACAAAATTAAAGGTGCAAGTAGGCTTTAAAATTCAGTCAGGGATCCATAAAGTATAATACTAGCCACTTGGGAAACAGATATTAAGGGACTGTAATTCAAAGCCAGCCTGAGCATAGAAATACATAATACTCCCATCTCAACAATGAATGGGTGAGGTGGTGTAAGCCTGTTATCCCAAACTACAGAGAAAGCACTCTGGCTGGGCACAATGGCACTTGCTTTTCAGCCTAGTGACAAAAGGAAATACAGGAGAATAACAATCCAGGCTGGTCATAAAATCAGACACTCCCAAAATTAATCCAAACCAACAAACTGTTAATCAAAATAACTACCAGGAGGTTCAGTGGTGTTAGGGTGAGAGGTAATTAAGGAATAAAGGGAGAACGTGAAAATTTACACACACATGCGTGCGTACACTCACACACACACACACACACACCCAAGCCAAGAATGTGCTAGAGGCATTGTTCAAATGGTACTTGCCTAGGAAATGTGAGACTTGAGCTGAATCGCAATACTAGAATGGTGAGGGAGAGAGAGAGAGAGAGAGAGAGAGAGAGAGAGAGAGAGAGAGAGAGAGAGAATTCGTTAACTATAGAAACAAGAAGAAGAAAAGAAAAAGAAGAACAAGAAGCAGCAGCAAAAAGGAATAAAAGAAATAAAGAATGGGCTTAGGATAGACTATACTTAAAGATCTTTGGAAGGGAATCATTAAAAAATGCCCTGTTCCATAATAATTTTCTCCCAGATCCTCAATGTGTCCCTTCTGTTCTTCATTTTTTCTCATATTGACACACAGATAATGACAACAGTGAATCTTTAAAATGATTTCAAAGAATACTTTTGGACAATGTTCATGAGGCCTAGTTCAATATCACGATTCCACACCCTGTTCTCTGTATTACCTGTTGGGCTGGAGGTAAAACCACAAAATCTAACTTAATGCACCTGCCCATGTCAGTTACTCAGTCAACACAAACCCAGAGTACTTCTTCCAGGAGCTCCAGGAGAAGGATCAGGGAGACTACACAGAAGGCAGATAGGCAGATAGAGGGAGGGATATCAAGGCAAGTGACTATTTTGCTTTTCTTTCCTACTGGTTTTGTCTAGTAATTGTGAATATTCAAAATTAATTAGCACAGAAAAGGTGACTCTGTGCTGTTCCTCTACATGATATGATAGCATTCTGGGAGTAGGAGAAGGGAGCAAGAGGAGAAAAAGGGGGAACAGGACAAGAATGTTCAGCCAAAAGGAAAGGAGGAGGAGAAAATGGAGGAATGGAGGAAGGAAGGAAGAAAGGAAGGAAGGAAGAATGGAAGGAAAGAAGGAAGGAAGGAAGGAGACAATGGTTCTTTTTAAGAGCTATAAGATGCCAGGAGCCAGTGGGTCATGCTTTGAATACTAGCAGGATCACTGTTCAAAACGAACCCAGGCAGGAAATTCCCTAAGACTTTTAACTCCAGTTAGCCACACAAATCTGGAAGTGGAGCTGTCACTCAAGTGGTAGATCACTAGCCTTGAGGAGAAAAGCTCAAGGACAGAGCCACACTCAACAAATACAGGGGGAAAAAAAGCTGTAAGTGATTATGTAGCTTCAGACTTCATTGAAGAGATCACCATGAGACAAGTTTAAAACACTTAGACCTGTTATGGTGAACATGTTTTAATATAATAACAACACTAGCCAGTTCTGCTGCAATCACCAAAGTTCTCTTTAAGATTAGCACAATGATTTAGCTCAGCTAGTGTTTTGCATTCTATGGAAAGAAATTTGAAAATGAGCTTATTCTGTTTAAACACAATGGGCATAAACTCAGGCAAGCAAACAATAGTAGATTTCCTTTGACTTTCTGAGAGACCAAAGACATTCCAAAGGCTGAAAATGTTCTCGGAAAGAAGTCATTTTTCCACTGTGTCACAATTGAAGCATTGTAAGTAGTACATTATCCTGTGTGCTACAGACTGTGTTGAATAAGACAAAAGGATTCTCATATAATCTACTTTGATGGTTTAGCTTAAGGGCTAAGAAGTGCTTCTCTGTACTTCATCCTCTGGGAGTTTTTGAGAATCGGAATATTTCACCTAACAGGTTAATTAACAGAGAACTATTTCCACCTTAAGTACACACAGTTGCCACTTTGCTTGAAGAGAAATGAGCTGTTTATTTGCTCTCATGATTTTTTAGTGAGAATATCAGAGCTGCGTTAGGAGATTTTGATGGATAGAATTTTATAGTACCAGTAGTCCATGGGTTTGAACTTGTCAAACCAACTAGTGGTTAAGAAAATCCAGAAAGGAAAAGTCAGAACCTAGGAGAATTGGGGCAAGGGTATTCTGTGCGTTATATGCATATGTCAGGCAAGTTAAAATGTACCTTCATCTTTTTCAAATTAGAAAGCAACAACATGCATCCCACATTGTCTTTAAATTTTACAGAGTTGATAGACGGTTCTCACTTTTTATTAGAAAGAATCAAATAGCATACGGCACTGGTGTGTCTCGTCTTTTGTCAGTTTCTAGTCACCCCATTGATTTGAAATGTGATGGTGAACTTTCTCAAACTCTGCTCTATGTATGGTTCCATGATGTGTGAGGGATAGAAATAGCCATGGAGAAACTGGTTCCACAAGCAGATTTTGCATCCATCTTGTGATGCCACGGTTTCAACTAACACTCTCTCAGCTCCTGGCTGGCTCTCTACTACTTGAACCATTCCCCAAGTCTCGCTTTTAGATGGTGAATTGGAAGTAGACACTTGTAGACTTGTCTGTGTAGGCTAGCTTGGAACTGTAATTTTCCTGAGCAGCTAGGATGAAAGGCAAGATCCACTGCCACCTGGCTTGTCCCACACTTTCCTTCCCTCCATAGTCAACCCTGCAGAGCGCTTGTGTCTGATGGAAGAGTTTTCAGGCTTTGATTCTGGTTGTTGGCTGATCTGTGACCTGAGAACAAGTAATTCCTCTAAGTGCTAGCAGAACCACATTTTCCCCCTCTTTCCCAAAAAGATGAAACATATAAACCATTTTGAGTACATGTCATCCTTAATTTGACCTCCATTTTAAGATATACTTATGTGTCACCAATTTATGTCATTCCTTTTGATACTAATACTTCAGAGTCTTAGACAAATGTATTTGTAGCTTAAGAATAATGCATCAGAAATAATACTTTAGAGTTTTGGGCAAGTTTCTAACTTTATATTGGGTCTCTTTAGTCGATTTTCTGCCTGACATTTCCACAGAATGGTGGGGATAATGGTGGCAGAAAACACCCACTGTCACTCTTCAGAATCCTCTAGAACAATACTAGTGAGAATTCTCGAACCCAGTAGCTACCTATTCTGAGGCTACCTAAATTGGTTACTTAAGCTTGATTGTTTTTAATAGGTAGAAGTCTCAGAATATGGCCTTAATTCCTGAAATCTTATAATATGTGTGTTGAAGGGTTTTTAGGTAAAGCATTATGCTTGAAAATGCCAAAAAAAATCCAGAGAAAGTAGAAAAGAACTAGATGATGGATTTCCTTTCCAAATTATGCACTGAAGTTATACTCTGAAAGAGATATTTGCCTAAGTGCCTTAATATCATGCAGCGAGGAAAGTGGAGGTACAGTGTTTTCATTGATCTAACAAGACTTGAATTTTACCAACGTTAAGTTCAACATGAGGCATTCATAGCTAGTATTCTTCATCTTCTCACTTTCTTAATGCACCTGTTTGGTGCAGTACTTTGAAGGGAATGGATGATTGTTTTAGAACCAGCATTAAACCTCTAGAGCACAAAACAATTCTTAACTTACATCTTTCTCTTCAAGTCTTCTTACCCATCCTGTTTAGATATCTTCAATTCCAAATGACTAATTCTTTGTGTATTTAAGTAGCCATACTACACTACTATAAAGAAATTAATACTTCAAACTGTTGTAAATTAATCAAACTTCTCTGACTACAATGTCATTAAAAGAGGAAATAAGTGTGCTATGGAGCATGCTTGTAATCAGAAGTGCCTAGAGGCAGAAATGAGAGAATTTTGGTTTGAAGTTAATCTGTGCAAAAACAGCAGAATACTATCTTAATGAACCAGTCTGTCAGGATTATTCTTGTCTCTAATCCTAGCTATCTGGGAGGTGAAGGTGGAAGTATGGTGTTTCAGGGCTGACTCAGGAAGAAAGTATGAGCCTATATCTAAAAAATAATTGAACAGGTCTGAGAGCATAGCTCAAGTGGTTGAGCACCTGCCTAGCAAACACAAAGCTAGTTCCAACCCCAGGACAGAGGGAGAGAGAGAGAGACAGAGAGACAGAGACATAGAGAGAGAGAGAGAGACAGATAGACAGACACAGACACAGAGAGGAGATATGAGCATCTGTAGAAGAAGCAAACATGAACCAAATTCTATTCTTTTATTCTTTTTGTGACATATTTTCACACATCATCTATCATTATAGCTGAAAAAGGTACTTCACTCTTAGTACCCCTTCTCCTCTCAAATTTCCTTTGAATTAAAAGATTTGAAAAAGGGGTAGATGCAATGTCCTTATAGCCTCCTCCTCAGAAAAGCAAAATCATTGTGTACAAGGTATGTGCAGTGCAGCTAGGGACAGCCAGCGTGGATTTAAACTTAGGGCAGATTATGGAAGAGCTCAGAGTGACATTTACCTGAGTGAAACCACAGTGCTTCCCTGAAGCAACTTTCTACATTAATGGGACAAAGATCTTCCTCATTTTATTTAGTGGAACTACATAAAGGAATAAGAAGCCAGGTGCTGGAGGCTCACATCCACAGCCCTAGCTATTCCAAAAGCTGAGATCTGAGTATCAAGATTCAAAGCTAGCCCAGCAGAAAAGTTTGTGAGACTCTTCAGTTAGCCAGCAAAAAAAAACAAAATTAGAACAGCAAAAATCAAGAACTCTAACAACAACAGATCCTGGAGGGGATGTGGACAGAAAGGAACCTTACTTCATTGTTGGTGGGAATATAAACTTGTTCAACCACTTTGGAAAGCAGTATGGAGGTTCCTCAAAAGACTCCACATAGAGCTCCCCAATGACCCAGCAATCCCACTTTTGGGCATTTACCCAAATGATCACAAACAAGGCCACACTAAAGCTACCAGCACAACTATGTTTATTGCAGCATTATTTACCATAGCTAAGACATGGAACCAACCCAGATGCCCCTCAGTAGATGAATGGATCAAGAAGATGTGGTATATATACACAATGGAATTCTATGCCTCCATCAGAAAGAATGACATTTCCCCATTTGTTAGGAAATGGAAAGGCTTGGAAAAAATTATATTAGGTGAAGTAAGCCAGGCCCAAAGAAACATAGGTCCCATGGTTTCCCTTATTTGCAATATCTAGTATAGGTATGAGTCAAGCAGAAAAAGTCAGATAATGTGATGTTAGGAAAACGAAACCTCAAATATGTATTTTAATGTTTTTGTTTCTTTCATGCATGTGTTTCTAACGCATTTATAAGATTATTTCTTGGTTGCTTTGTATGTCCCTCCCCCACAGTGTAACCCCCGCTTTCACTATATTTGATGTCAGTATAACATGTGGAGGAGATGGGGACAAACAAGTCGTTTAAGGATTCAGGTGGACCTGTTGCAACAATGAGAAGTACAAAATGTCATGTCAAAACCAGCTTTACAATGTCGGTGGGGAGGGGTGGTGGGGGGGTATGATTGGGTGGGAGGGAGGGGGGAGGCTGGGAAGGGAGGTGAAGGGTAAACAAAGGAGGAGGTTGCAATGCTTGGTAAGAAATGTATGCATTATCCTGCCCATGTAATTGTAACCCCTCTGTACCGTATGTTCTCAAATAAAATAAAATAAAATTAAAAAAAAAAAAAAAAGTAAGCCAACCAACAAACACAAAACATGCTTAAAAGTGTGACACAAGTGGTAGAGCAATAGCTTTAAGGGGAAAAAAGCCAAGAGAGAGTATTAGAACCTTCGTTCAAGTCCTAGTATTAGCACAAATACAATATAGCTACAGCAAAGTGGGTATATGGAGGACTAGGCAAGATGGAAGAAACAAGCAATAGTAGAGGGTATATATAAGCCAGATGAAGATCTTTTTGTTTGTTTCCCAAACTGTTGAGCAAACGAATACATTAAAGGTAGATATTAATAATGCATTTTTATATTAGGATGGATCAGAGTGATCTACAGAAGGGTGTAAAGATACGACTTACAGGGTTGTTGCGATTGAGGGGAAAAATAAGACTCTAAACTCTGCTATTAGAAATGAAAGTAAAATCTTGGCTAGCTGAGATCAATCTCTGCAGGAGAAGACCATCCTTTTGTAGTGGTCACAGCAGCCCTCTGTATTCTGGTGAGTGATGGAGAATGAATCAGGGGCAGCTTAAGAGACTGCCATCAGCCTGCAGGCAAGGCTTAAAAATATTGAGGGATTTGTGGCTGTTCCCAGACCCAGATCTCACTGACATCTCTGAGAAGAAAATGGGTGGTAAAGCAATTAATGACAACAATGCTGCAATACTCATACAGGTGTATTTCTCACAGGAAAGAAATAGTTTGCAATGAAAAGCATATAGCTATGAGTTAGGAGTACCTACAAAAATGAAGAACAAATCCCTTCTTGGAAGAATTGTTTGAAAATTTGGGCTTTTGTCCTAGTGATAATTGGAGGTTAGACTTCTGATTAACACATTTTTTCCTGGGCATTTCCTGGACTATAAATGTTTGCCTTGTGATATCTACTCTGGCTAGGTGACGAGAGGCGGTGGTCTTCTTGGAGATAGAGAGGCAGGAATAGAGGTGGAGAACTTGTAAAAATATGAGAAAGAAAGTTCCCTTCAATCTAAGCTCTGAAGAAAACATTCCAACACATTATTCACCAAGTTGGGGAAGAAATGTACTTCAAATTGACTATATTTTATATGCCTTATTAGAAACTAGAACTATCTCTAAAAACTGGCATGTGTGGCCTTGGACGTTTAGCAGAATGCATAAGAATGTAACCAAAAAGCAAGAACATACAAACCAAACACTGGGAGATGAGTTGTAATTGCCTCTCTGTAAATTAAAATTTTGGTTTTACAGGTGGTTAAATATTGGACAGAAAATGTGTTCTGAGGACTCTAGAGAGATAGCTCTGGTTAACTTTTAAACACAAGGTTTAGAGGACTTGTCTATTAAATCTCTCTGTGAAGATGTCTAAGTATTTAATGAGGAAGAAATTTATAGCTTCTTATTTTGGACCAGACTGCTTGGCGGGTAAGAAGGTCACATGACTGCTTCATGAACTTACTTGTATTTCTCTGTCTCATCCCACTGTGAAGCCAGAGAGTAGGCCGTGTAATGTGTGGTAAGCATGGGCACTGGTTCATTTTCTCATGCACTGCATTTCTATGACAAATTTTAATATGCTATATACATCTGTTGGGGTTGTCTTTCTATTAAAGAGAAATTGTTGTGTGTGTGTGTGTGTGTGTGTGTGTGTGTTTCATTTACCAGAAGCTGTAAATAACTATGTGAGTCTTATACAAAGGGATTTTAGAGACTATGATTTGAAAATGAAATATAAATTTATTAAGCTTGGGATGCAGCTTCTAGCAGCTAGTTTAAAAAGTACAAATGTAGACCTACTCTGTTTGGAGAAGGGTTGACTATACTTTTTCTGAAGCTAATATTAATGTTCCAGAGGATAAAACACACTTAATTGGGAGTTTGAGGTACTGTGTGTGTGTGTGTGTGTGTGTGTGTGTGTGTGAGATAGAGAGAGAGAGAGAGAGAGAGAGAGAGAGAGAATGTCCCTGTTACTATGTGTATGCGAAAGTCAGTCAGAAAGAGAAGCAGATAAGATAGGAAAATTCCTTTGTTTGATTTTTAATATAAAAATTCCATGCCTTTGTAGTAATATTTATAGTTTGTTTATAATATAAAAAGTCCATGTATTTGCAGTAAGATTTATTTGTTTCCAGTTAGTGGACCCATTCTCAGATATTGAAAAGGCGGCTTTTTTCCCCCCATTTTGGAATATAAGATTACACAGCTCACCAAAAATGTGCATGTAAGTTTACATTAAGGTTCCAGATAGTGATTATGAATTACTATAAAATCTCTGGCAATTACTTTCACAAATGTCTGCTTTTCTATGGATGGAGCAATGTTTTATCAAATACCCTGAGAATACTGCAATCAGCAAAGTATTTGCTTAGGGGAGAGATTTAAACGAGTTGAAGGCTTACTTTAATCTTAGTTGCCTTTCGTTAAGCCAAATAGTGTGTAGCGTTTACCTCAGCTGAACTTACTTGGATTAACTGCTTTGTTTGATTTGCATGTATATAGCATCCTCTAATATCTATGAAAATATAAGGCATCCACTTTTATTCCGTTGTAAAGAAATAGAGGCACAGAGGATATTCTGAGAAGATAGTGCTGGGTGGGGACAATCTGGGAAGGAAAAAAAAAGAAGCTGTCCAAAAAACAATTGACACTACCTCTATATTAAATTCTATTTAGTAACTTTTGTCATTGAAAATAAGAGGCATTAAGTCTGCCTGGCTTCTCTTTACTTCCTGAGATTTGGGCTGTAAGGAGGCCATGAATTTGGGCATCTGTTCACATCTTAGGGTGGGTGGGCACCAAGAGAAGGCTCACCAGCTTGAGGGGGCCTGGGTGAGTGGAAGAGCTAACAGTACCTCCACCAGCTGAACTTCCAGGTGAAGTAGAAAGAGGCTCCTTGTATGGCTGGGGTGGGAGCCTAATGCATAAACACTCCTGTCTGCTTCCTCCTCCTCATTCTAAGTAAGTGGGATGTTTGCTAGTCATGTAAACAATGCCTTATAACATGAAAAGAACACACCGACCTCAGATTTCATTCCAGATTCCCTTAAGCAATGCATGGGCTATTTTCATTTTAAGAAAATGTTGGCCCATAATGCATGTAATAGTGTTTTTGTTTATGAATATTTCTACTTTCTGTTTTATTTTTAATTTTAATTATCACTAAGGTGATGTACAGAGGAATTACCATTTCATAAGCCAGGTAATGAGGACATTTCTTCCTGAGCAATGTCAGACCTTCCTTTACTCTTTCCCAGGAACCCTCTTATATAAGTCATGTATGTTTACTAGTTTTACTGACCTTAGCTAATAAAATTATATGTGGTACAATTCATTATCTTTTAACTTCACTTGCATTCTTCAAACTCTCAGGTCTGAATTTTAAATTAACTACTATTTTATAAAATACCCTTTTCTTTCAGAGACCTCTAGATTTTCAGTATGTTTGTTTAGTGCATTGTGTTATAGTCATATGTAATGTGAACTTCATAGCTTCTCGATTGAAATTTCTTTTTAATGTATGACTTACTTCATCATGTATTTGCATTATGATTATATCCTCAGCCTCCTAAGACTTGATTTTACTTCTTGCATTATGCTAAGCATTTTGTAATGTGAATATTACTCATAAAACAGTGCCTAGTGCCTTACCTGCCTACCTATCTAGCTATCTTTTCTTACAAATTTAATTTATTCTATTTGTTTTATTGCAGCCAGATACCAATCTGGCTTCACAAAAGTACGTCCACGGAAACTGAAAACACCAGGGAATTCTGGTATATGTAACAACATAGTTTTATCATAGTTTTTTAGAGTGAGAGTGATCTTGCTCTATAGGTTTTTGAGTAGAGCTTATATTGTCACTGATAAATGCCCATATCTCAGTGGTTAACCTTTTTTTTTTTTCATGATTTCAGCATGTGTATGGAGAGGTGGCTTGCCTCCTCTCTGACAGTACACAGGATTGCCATCTGATTATGATGCTTTTCTCTGAAAATGGCTCAACCAGCAATATGACAGACAAACAGAATGGACGATCATATAGAGACTCTTCAAGCCCAGGTCTGGAGAGTACTTGTATTCAATTGGCTAGCCACTCTGAACACACAGCTTCTACGCCTCAAATCGTCTCTCCTTCTGATTTCTTCTCATGTTTCAGGTTTTCCAAGCTTTTCTTTCCATCAAACACATCCCACTCCATGCTTGGCAATGTAGGGACATTGCTTTCCAAAGGCTCACCCTTAAGCATTTTTTTTAATATTCCAAATCACAGATGACATCCTGGAGTACATTTTAGCCCAAACAACAAGACTAAAACGAAACCTGATTAACTGGCCAAGTAACTTGTTTTCCTAATTATGCACTTATTTGCATGAAAAATTTAGAAATAAACATTTAACTATACAATTAAATCATCATTAGTAATCATAATTACTTTCATTTTTCACATCATGCAGAATTGTAGACAGATTTTACAGCTACAATCTCTAAAACGAATAGAAAAAATAGACATTACTTAATGACTTTATATGAAAATAAAAAGCCCTTTAACTTATTTTTCCCTAGTACTTGGGCCTTGAACTCAGGCCCTTAGCCTTTAACTTGTACACTGTTATCATCCAACTCTTTGTCTACTGTGTAGTGACAATTACATGTATCGGCCACCTGTATTGGGCAAAACTCTTAAAATGTGAACAAATTGCTCTATATGAATAAAGTGTCAATACTAAGAGGCTAGAGGGTTCACAGATCTTTCTTATATTTTACTCTAGTAGGATCAAGTTTCAGTCTGGTAGATATCCAATTGTCCTAGCACATTTATTTAGTAGCCTGTCTTTTCTCCAGCCTATGTTTTTGCAACTTTTGTCAGGAATCATGTGTGTCTGCCTGGTTTGCAATGGTTTGTTTCTGTATTTTCTATGATTTTTCACTGGTATATGTGTCTGTTTTTGTTCTTGTACCATGCTGTTTTGCTGGGAGACTATGTAGTATAAAGTCAGGTGTTACAATATCACTAGTGTTTTTCTTTTAGCTTACATCGGCTTGTACCTCTTTGAATTCTAAGATTATTTTATCTAGTTCTGCGAAAACATCACTAAAGTTTTGAGGAGGATTACCTTGAACCTGTAGATTGCTTTCTGTAATATATCCATTTTTCAAAATATTAATTTTGACAACCCACAAATATGGTAGGCAGTTTCATCTTCTAGTAACTTCTTATAATTTTCATTGTAGAAATGTTTCATTTCCCTTTCCCCATTCAGGTTTGTCCCTGGGTATTTCATTTTAATTTTGAGTCTTTTATAAATGCAATTCCTTTATGGCAAGTTTGTTATTAGTATACAGGAAGTTGCTGATTTTTTGTATTAATATTTCTTATGCTGCTATTGTCTAGTAGAGACTTTAATGTCTTTTAAGTAGATGATATCATGGGCAATTAGCAGAACTACAAGTCTTTAATTAGGCCAGCTACCTTGAAATTGCCACACATTTAAATTACTTAGAGAATATATAGAGTTTACACAATAAAAACTGTATTTGGGGGCTGGGAAGTTGGCTTAGTGGTAGAATGCTTGTCTCATGTGCATGAGGCACTGAGTTCGATTCCTCAGCAACACATAAGCAGAAAAGGATGCAAGTGGTGCTGTGGCTCAAGTGGTAGGGTGCTAGCCTTGAGCTGAAGAGCTGATAGCTTTGAGCTGAAGAGCTGTGGGACAGCGCCTAGGCCCAGAGTTCAGGCCCCACGACCACCACCACCAACAACAAAAAACCCTATATTTTCATTGGAAAAACATTCATGTAATAGAATACACACATATACCTATATAATCACATACATATGTGCATATGTATGTGTATATATGTGTGTATACACATTTGTGTTGTTCCTGGAGTATGAATTCAGGGTCTGGGCACTCTCTTTGAGCTTTATTGGTCAAAGTTAGCATCCACCCTCTTAGCTATAGTTCTACCTCTGGCTTTTGGTGGTTAATTGAAGATCAGAGTCTGATGGATTTTCCTGTCTGGGCTGGCTTTGAACCAAGATCCTCAGATCTCAGCCTCCTGAAGAGCTAGGATTACTAACCTATAAAATATATTTTATGTTGTACTCAAAATGAATACTAAACTTATTTATAATGAACAAAATCCATAAAAGATCCAGTAATTTAACAAGTACATTATTTCCTTGTCTACCTAACTGCACATACTTACTTGGTGAAGAGATGTGGAATGTTGGTTCACCTTCTTGCACTGCTTGATGTATCCATGATTCTGAGGACAATGAATAACTTCAACAGTCTCAAGGGGTCACTACTCACTCTCCTATTCTTATTTGGGTACTAAAATAAAAAAAAAAAGTATGACTATTTGATACACTGGTAGGTTCAAAGCAAGTTCCAAGCCTTTCTTACAGCCCCTTTGTAACAATTGACCAATATAACTGAAAAAGAAATAGAGATAGAGTAAGACACATTTAATTGTTAGTATGTCTAGTCAACTCCCTAACTTTTAATAACAAATGTAGAGAAAACTTTAACAATATTGATAAAATGTAAGAGGAACATAAATTAATAGCATTAAATGAAGCAGTATCATGGTAGACTATATAAAAAGAATATAAAAATATTATGAACCTGACACTCATAAATTTGAAAAAAATGAACAGATTTATCAATAAACAAACTCTATTAAAACTCATACAATATCAACTAGATAATGTACAACACCCTAGAGCGCTTCAGGAAATTAAATTTGTTATAAGTTTCAGGAGCCTCCAAATTTAAATAGTTTCATTGGAGATTTCTACCTGATGGTAAAAAAAAAAAAAAGGTCTCACAGTCTCATCTGGTAAGTTGAAGGAAAGGAATGCTTTCTAATTATTTTGGGGTAGTAATATAATATATAATATATGTACATATTTATATATATGTATATATAGACACAGAGTCTGATTATTCATGCAAAAATATTCAATGGAATGTTAACAAGCAGAATCCAACAATATTTCAAAAAGACCTTAAATCATGATCAAATAAAAATCAGAAAGAAGAAGAAAATAACAACAATAAGACAATAAGAAGATAATGAAGTTATTGGAAATAGAAAAATGTAATATATAAACACAGCCACATGCATTCCAAGCTTATATCACATGACACAACTTAACTATTTTCTGGTGGATTTTTTGGGGGGGTCCAGTTGTGGGGTCTGAACTCTGGGCCTGGGTGCTGTCCCTCAGCTCTTCAGCTCAAGGCTAGCACTCTACCAGTTGAGCCACAGCGCCACTTTCGGTTTTTTTCTTTTTGCTTATGTGGTGCTGAGGAATCAAACCCAGGACCTCATACATGCAAGGCAAGCGCTCTACCACTGTGCCACCTTCCCAGCCCCAAGGATTTTTTTTGTTTTTAAAGTACTGTCTCTATATTGTGAAAGGTGGCTTCCATCTTGCTCTGTAACCCAGGCTGTTCTCAAACTCATAAATTTCCTACGTTTTCCAAGTGCTGAGATTCCAAGCATTTATCCCATGGTGAGTTTGAAACTCAGTCTTGTGCACTGTCTATGAGAGTCTCATGAAAATTTGATTCAACAAATTTAATATACAAAAAAGGATGTTCCAAGTTATTATAGGAAAATGCAAACAAAAGGAAAGGAATTAGAATATTAGATAGAGCTTGAGGTCAAAGTAGATAAAGACACATACCAAGGAGTTCATATTGAAGACGTTATGGCCAGAAACATTTAATCATCTTACAACCAAATAAACACAAGTGGGCTGGGAAGGTGGCTCAGTGGTAGAGCGCTTACCAAATAAACACAGGTCTTAGAAATATAGCAAAAAATTGAAAGAAATAAGAACCTACAGGCCACAACCTTTATTAATCAGAAGATGAAGAGGACTGTCCTACAAGACTCATGGATATAGATGAAGGCTACTTCATATATCATTGGAGTAAAATCTAAACTGTTGAAATCAAAACAGATGTGTTGGCAAATGTCTAGCAATTGTATTCACCATCTTTTTTCAATGGTTTGACTATGAGTGAGACCACCTCATCCACACCATCTCTTGCTCCATTCCATCACTTCCTTCCCTTACTGCTTGGCTCGGTCCTACTGTGCTACCTTTGCCCTACTGCCTCTGATTTGGGGAAAGGAAGGGGATTGACAAAATGGTGAGACAAAGTACAAAGGGTGAACCCACACAACAGTGATACTTGCAAGACACTATGTTAGAAATGAACCTTACAGCTTGTACGGGGAGGGGAGTTAGGAGGAGGGAAAGTGGGAGAAAACGAGGGAGGGAGTAACACTGTTTAACAAGAAATGTACTCATTACCTTATGTTTGTAACTGTAACCCCTCTGCACATCACCTTGACAATACAATTCAACTGTAAAAAAAAAAGAGAATATCAAATTATCAAAGACATGTTGGTGTTGATCAGAATCACCCAGGTAGTTCACAAGAAGGTCACAGAGGCCTGACATTGCCTAACAATTCTAGTAAATACATTCCATAAGCCTGTATTTGCCTTCTAAGAGCCAAGTAAACTGTATCTAATAGTTGGGACTGGACATAGAATGTTCTGATTGGCACATCAACTCTAGGGCTAGAAAAGGATACTTTTTTCTAGTAATGGGGCTTGAATTCAGTGTCTTACACTCTCTTTGTTTTTTCCCCTCATGGCTGACACAGTACCACTTGAGCCATACCTCCAGTTCTAGCCTCTTGCCTGTTAATAATTGAAGGTAACTGTCTTACAGATTTGCCTGTCTAGGCTGGCTTTGATCTGAGATTCCTGAGTAGCTAAGACTATAGACATGAGCAATTGGTCTCTGGCTAGGGTCATTCTTATCAAACCACATACCAAGGAGACTTCAACAGGAGAGCTAAGATACAACTTTCCAATGAGTAAAAGGAAATTTGGTTAAAAGAACCAACATGTCTACATATAGGATCGGAATAGTATAAAAATTTTGATTAATTGCATAGTTTTAGACACTTAAATGTGCCCAAGTTTAAGCCTCTTCTTAGTCCCATAGGATCATATGATTATAAATACGATATTTGTGGTTCCCATCTTCACAACAATCTATCTTCTACCCTGTGCTGGCTGTAACCTAAGTAACTTAAGTTTTCTTCCTTGTAGTTTTCCTTTACTTATATTTTTATTGTAAAAATAGTGTACAGAGGGGTTACAGTTACATGATGAAGGCAATAAGTACATTTCCTGTTGAGCATTGTTACCTCCTCCTTTGTTTTTCCTCTACTATCCCTTCTATGGAATGGTCTCATGTGTTCTGATGGGTCATTTTAAAGCTACTGTAATGCTTCTGCCTATTTATAGAGAGGACTTCTTTTACCATCAGGTTGGGTGATACCGTAAACTCTGAACCTCACCCCTGATGAGGCTTCTGGTCTACACCAGCATGTCTTTGATAATTTGATCGTATTCTCTTTAAAAAATATATATTCTATTTTATTGTAAAGATGAGGTACAGAGGGTTTAGTTATGTAAGTAAGAAAATGAGTACATTTCTTGTCAGTGTTAACCCCTGCCTCATTTTCTCCCATTTTCCCTCCCTGGCTCCCCTACCCTCCAATAGTAAAGTTCATTTCCAACCTAGTGTCTTATGAGTATGGCTGTTGCATTGGTTCACCTTTGTCCTTGGTCTCACCATTTTGTTATTCCCCCTTCTTTCCCCAAATCAGATAAACATATATACAAGACACAGGGACAAAATAAAAAACAGTGACAACAGGGAATAAACCAAAGGAAAAAATGAAAGAAAAAAAGAAGTAACTTCACAGAGTACAATTTAAAACAAACCTCTTGTTTCCATATTTTGTAGTTCATTTTATCTGTTCATATGCATACAGCTATTGAGCTATGGTGAACCTCTGCTGGAACTATCCTAGACATATACTAATTATTACAAATGGGGGACATTATGGAACCTATGTTTCTTTGGGGTCTGTCTTACTTCACTTAATATGATTTTTTAATGTCCCTCTTTCTGATAGATTCATAGAATTACATCTTGGAGGCTCAGAAGTAGCAAATGATTTCTGATTTGCATCCTGACACATTACTGGCATGTGAAATATACAAATTCTCCTTCATAAGAATTTTCCAAACATGAGTATAGTCCCTTCTTTCTATTCCCTGAAGAAGTGAAAAAGGGTAATCGTTTTGTCTGTTTGGTGTCAAAGATGACGTTCAAGTCCTTGTGAATTTTAAGCGTGTCTTTTGCCACTGAGCTATCCACCAGTTTCCTAAAGTGAAAATTATTTATTGTATATTTTAAAATTGTATTATACAAATGAGTGATTTTAATTTTGGAATATATTTGTAGAAATGCATGATGTCTTTGTCTTTAATTATAGTGTATCACAGAGAACTTCCTCTGGTAGTGGTAGACATCTTTAGAACCTTCCTTAGTAGGAAATTTGCCCTGGATCACAAGTTGACTTTAGAATCCAAACTAAAACAATAATAAGACTATGAAGCTACTAGAAGGCTACAATCTGAAATGTATGTGTTCATTTCAGTGTATGAGTTATTTGCTTATCAGGCCTTTTATATAAATTCATAGTGTAGAGTATTGAGATCTAAAATATCCAACATTTTTAATCTTTTAGACCCAAATTGAATTTCATCTGTTTGAGAAAGTAAGTTTAATATACAGATAAAATTTAAACTTTTTGTGAAATCAAAGAAATAAATTAGTTTTAGTAAAGGTGTGTGAACAGAACATTTTTCTTGCCTTAAGTTCTGAAATATTTAATAATAGGTAAATATTTTAACATCTTTCCTAGGACAGACATCAATGAGAGTCATAATATAGGAACATGAAATTCTCTCTTACATTTTAATATATTTGAAAGTATCATTACGTGACTTGAAATGCTTTGAGGAAATCAATAAGTGATACATATTCATTGCAAAATTTTCAATATTGAAGGAAGCAAGTAACATTTCTTTTTAAGCAAGATTATACATAAGTTTACAGAGCATGTGACAGGTAAGATCCTTTCATTTCCTTTGGTCAGTAGCAATTCATAGACTTGAGCATGCTAAAATTTACAGTTAGCCTCTTGATGGAATATAAAATTGATAAGCAGTCTAGATAGCATTTGGAAAATATATGAACGAAATGTGTTTTGCATTTAATGAGTTTCACTGATAATCTTCATAAAAATCAAGAAAATGATTTCAAAGACTATTTTTCAAATCAAAGTATTTAAGAGCTAAGGATATCTGTTTTGTTTAGGTTTAGTGTTTTAACCATTGTTTATCTTCATTGTTTTATAAATTGAGTGAGCATAGTCTTTGGTAAAATCTCTCAGAATCTATATATCTATCAATAAACACTATATGGAAACCAACAAATATATTTCTAAAATTCTTCTTTAGTTTTCACCATCAAGACATATTATCCATAACATCTAGTTCCAGAAATGTATCTTGACTTCATTGTATGCAGGAATTAGGAGAATAATACAATAATGTGTGCTCAATTATGAGGAATGCCCAAGGTGCAGAAGTTACCATATTTTTTTATATCAAAGTTCACTATTTGATTAAAAAAAATTCTTCGGCCAGGTGCCTTTGACAAAGGCTTGTCATCCTAGCAACTTAGGAGGTTGAGTTTTGAGGAAAATAGCCAGAAGTCAATCTTTGGCTTACATGGTAGAGTACTAGCCTTGAGAAAAACTGCTCAGAGACAGTGTCCAAGCCCTTAGTTCAAGCCCCAGGTTAGCACAAATGAAAATCTCAACTGATTCAAAATTGCTCTTAAAAGTTACCAGAAGATTTTAAGATTCATTCTTTGTATTTACTTACTATTTATTTACTTACTATCTTTAAGGAGTTTCAATTCGACATGTCAATCATGAGGACAACACGTCTCACTCAATGGATTCAGTTTGCATGTGTGTTTTTAATCCCTGTTCATTGTCAAGAACATTCCTGTATTATGTATACTATGATCAGTTTTGTCATTTACCTCTCTGGTCTAGTTGTATGTATACTTTTGCCATGCTCATATCATATTTATTTAATCTCACTTTTGAAAATGTCTTAGTCATGCTAGCAGTAGTTTTCTAATCAATTTCATTAAAAATATCTAAGTGATTTAGAAATATGACATAATATTTACCAAATTACATATTAAATTTGCACTACATTAATGCAACATACAGAAATTAGTCCATAGGTGAAATAAAGACAGGTTGATTAAACTCATATTTACAAAACACTTGTTTCCTTATTGCATGTTATCATTGCTTAGACCTCAAAGTCAAAAAGACTCCAAGATCTGCATTCTATTGCTGCTGCTTTATGCTTCCATGAATAAATTATTCAGTTAGGTGAGTTCATAATTCCTATAAACTCTTTGGGCAAAATTGTTTCCAAATCTTCTTGTAAAATCCAAACAGCTTGTACCTTTTAATGTGATTCTTTCAACTTCTATCATTTCTATGAGTGTTTTCAATTTTTAGTCAGCATTGAGACCCCATATTTTTCTTTAGATTCTACCATCCATAGTTTGCTAGTTGGAAATTCTATAGGTATTAAACCATCAGATAATGTAGCTGTAACTAAACTGATCACACATTCATTTAAAATCAATAGAAGCAGCTGGACACATGTGGCTCACACCTATAATCCTATCTACTCAAGAGGCTGACATCTAGGGATCTCTGTTCAAAGCCAGCCAGGACAGGAAAGTCTGTGAGACTCTTATCTCCAATTAACCACCAGAAAACCAGACATAATATTATGGTAGGACACTTGCCTTGAGCTGAAGAGCTTAAGGACAGCACCCAGGCCCAGAGTTCAGGCCTCACGACCAACAAAAAAAGAAAGAAAGAAAGAAGAAAGAAAGAAAGAAAGAAAGAAGGGGAGGGGGAACGGGGAGGATTGGGTGGTGGGGCAGGGGGAGGATGGGAAGGGATGGGAAGGGGAAACAAAGGAGGAGGCTACAATGCTTGATAAGAAATGTACTCATTATCTTGCCCATGTAATTGTAACCCCTCTGTACAGTATTTTCACAATAAAAAAAGAATGTATAGCATTGATTAACAATAACCAGTTGGGAAAAATCAAGTAAATATGAAGCAGCATGATAAGATCCAATTAAACAAAGTAATCTAGACTCACACATTGGTTACTAGAAAGAAAGAACATTGGAATCATCCTTATAATATATGTGTTTAAAGCTGGAGGGAATATGCTTTAGAGAGCCACCTGATGGAGGCTTGGCCCAATGTGTGTACATACAACTAGATTTTCTTTTTTTTTGTTTTGTTTTTGGGTCCGGTTGTAGGGCCTGAACTCTGGGCCTGGGTGCTGTCCCTCAGCTCTTCAGCTCAAGGCTAGAGCTC